GGGAGGCGTGAGGCGGCTTTGTTGGTGATATTCGTTCGATTTGTTGTTGTTGTTTTTTAGTTGTTGTTGTTGTCTTTTTATTGTTTTTGTTTAAGAGTTCGAATTTTTTGCGATCACAAGGGTATCACGCTAGGCTTTTCGCTTCCCTGGATACTTTCTTGTCCTCCTTTTCCCTCTCGTTCTTCCCTCCCTTTCCCTCCCTTTCTTCTATTCTCTCCCTTTCGTCTCTCTCCTTCCCTCCTTTCGTTCTTTCCTCCCTTTTGTCTCCACTACTCCTATTCACTCTCACTTCCTCCCCATCACTCGTCACTCCTTCCCTCTGCTCTCTCACTCGCTTTCCTACTCTACTTCACTCCTTTCCTTCCTCCCTTCTTTACTCCTTTTCTCCCCTCCTCTCCCCTCCCCAGTCCATCCATTTCTTTCCTTTCCTTCCCTCCCTTCCCTACACCTTTCCTCCCCTCCTCTCCCTCCACCCATCTCCTCCCTCCCCCCTCTCCCCTTCCACTCCGCGGAAGGGAGACTTGGCGGCGGTCGTCGGCTGAGGGGGAGACGACCGCTAACGACCGTGTGTCGGGTTGTGTTCCTCTTTCGGGGCCGGGATTCCGACATGTCGCTGAGGGAGGGGGAGAGGGAGGGAGGGAGAGGGAGGGAGAAAGAGAGAAAGGAAAGGAAGAGAGATAGAGGAGGAGGAGGAGAAAGGGTTACCTTTTTTCGATCTCCTACACGGTCTGGCTACGTGTGCATGTGTCTTTGCGCGTGTGTGTATTATGTGCTTGGTGTGGGTTTGTTGTGTAAATGTATGTGCGTGTTTGGATTTGTAGATGTGTGTGCTTTCTGTGACTGAAACATAGATAGCAAGAAAGAAAGAAAGAGTAAGAGAGAGAGAGAGAGAGACAGACAGACAGACAGACAGACAGACAGACAGACAGACAGACAGAGACAGAGAGATAGAGAGACAGAGATCGTGGGCATTAACCCTACCTCTCTATCAGTAACTCATTCTCGTTTTCATTTCCGTTTACCTATTACTCCCCTTTACGTAACACCGACAGAAAACGGGACTCATTGTTATCCCCTTCCCCGCTGTTTGCACTTGGCCTTTTCATTCGGTATGGAAGGCAGCGCCCCCCTCGCCATCGCCTGTCTGTCAACAGCATGCAACGGCCTGCAATGCGCGCGCGCGTTTGACCCTCCCGTTTTTTTATCCTTTGAGTCAACAGCTTCCTTTATGCTTCGCTGTTTGTTTTCGAGTTTATTGCATTTTTCTTTGTTCGAGGTTGCTTCGTCATTGTGTGTGTGTGTGTTTGTTGTTTCTTTTTGTTGTGTGTGTGTGTTGTGTGTGTGTGTGTGAGGGAGGGTGTTTGTGTGTGTGTGTGAGGGAGGGTGTTTGTGTGTGTGTGTGTGTGTGTGTGTGTGGTGTTGTGTGTGTGTGTGTGTGTGTGTGTGGTGTGTGTGTGTGTGTGTGTGTGTGTGTGTAGGGTGATCTGTGTATGTATGTATGTATGTGTTTGTGTGTATGTATATGTGTATATATGTATGTATGTGTATGAATGTATCTATGTATGTATGTGTTTGTGACTATGTGCCATTGTGTGCTTACGTATGTCTCCGTCTTTATTTGTGTGTTGTGTTCCTATATTCGCCTTTGTGTCTATTTGTTTATCCGCCTGTCTTTATATGTCTGCCTCTGTACCAGCATGTTCCTACTTTTTTATTTTATCTTTTCTCTCTTGTTTGTTCTTTTTTTCTGCATCTTTTCTTTTTTCTTTCTTCTTTCTTTTTCTGCGTGTTTGGTTTTGCAGGTTTGCAAAGGACGCGTATGGGGTGCGGGCGTGATTCCTCAGTGGGCGTGATTGCTCTGTATCATGTCCACATATCCAGGCTGTCCAAAGGCGTGGGGGGAGAGAGAGAGAGAGAAGGAAAAGAATATGGGTGTGAAGAGTGAGGAGGGAATGAGGAGAGAAAGAGGGGGAAAGATTCGAAACGGAGAGCAATTGTGAAAAAGGGATTAGCGAGAGGGAGATGTTGGCTCTCACACGCGTGTATAGAGAGATTCGGAGAGTGAGGAAGTCAAGATAGGGATGGAGAAAGAAGGAAGGGGAGCGGGAGGGGGGAAAATGGAAAGGGAAATAGATAGAGGGAAAAAGGGGGAAGATAGGGAGGGAGAGGGGGAGGGATAGAGATAGAGGGAAGGAGAGGGAGAGGGATGGAGATAGAGATAGAGGGAGGAGGGAGAGGATAGAGGGGGAAGGAGTAACAGGGGACGGAGCGGATAGATAGAGAGAGAGAAAGAGAAAAAGAAAGAGAGAGAGAGAAAGAGAAAAAGAAAGAGAGAGAACACACCTTGTTCATCAGTTTCATCACAAACGCACGTATTTATAAGCAAGTCACACGAAGGGAACCCGCCCCTTGTCATCTTTTATTGTCAATGAACTCATGACTCCACTGCCCTGCCATGCTGCTTGTGTCACGGCGTGCCAACAAGCCTCCGCTGCACGTTGTTTTGCGTTGGGTTTTTGTTTTGATGTTGTTTTTTGTTTTTGGTTTAGTGTTTGATTTCCTGTTTTATTGTTGTTCCTTTCTTCCTGTTCTCGGTTGTTTTCTTCGTATTTTCTTGGATTTATTTTTGTTTGATTTTTTTTTCTTTGGTCTGTTTTTATTTTTATTTTTTGTTTGATTATTCTCCCGGTTATCCTTTTATTTCCCTTCTCTTTTTGTTTCTTGTCGTTTTCTTTTCATCCCTCTCTCTCACGTCTTTTCATTCTCTTCTTTTTTTCATTATTATTTGGTTTTGCTTCGTCTTTTTATGCTTTTCTCCTCTTTTCTGGTCTGTTCTCTTCTGTTCTCTACTTCTTCCTCGTCCTCTTCCCCTTCTTCCCACCCCGTCGTCCTTCCCCTCCTCTCTATCTTCTTCCTCCTCCTCCTCTTTTTTCGTCTTCCTCTTCATCTGCATCCTTCTCATGACCTCTTTCTTTACACTTCCCGAATCACTGCTTCCTCCACCCCCTCCTTCCCTAACCCCCAACCCCCCCCTCCTTCCCCACACCCGTCCCTTTCCTTACCCCTACCCCCAACCCCCCTTCCTTCCCCACACCCGTCCTTATCCCTACCCCACCTCCTTCCCCACCCGTCCCTTATCCCCTACCCTACCCCAAACCCCCACCTCCTCCTTCCCCACACCCGTCCCTTATCCCCTACCCCTACCCCACCCCCCTACCCCCACACCCGATCCCCCCCCCACCCTCCTTCCCCACACCCGTCCCTTATCCCTACCCCTACCCCCCCAACCCCACCTCCTTCCCCAAACCGTCCCTTATCCCCTACCCCTACCCCCAACCCCCACCCCACCTCCTTCCCCAAACCCGTCCCTTATCCCCTACCCCTACCACCAACCCCCCTCCTTCCCCACACCGTCCCTTATCCCTACCCCTACCCCCCCAACCCCCACCTCCTTCCCCAAACCCGTCCCTCATCCCCTACCCCTATCCCCAAACCCCCCACCCTCCTTCCCAAACCCGTCCCTTATCCCCTACCCCTACCCCCCCCCTCCATAAAGATCAAAGCTCAGAATCCTCTCGAAAAATCCTTCAGGCAAATTTGTTTTTCTGCACCATTTTTTTTTCTTTCAAACGAGTCATATCATAATACTTTACACAATTTTCTCCCTTTTTTTCTTTCTTTTTTTTTGTAACTTTTTTTCGTACTGTAAAATGTGTTTTAGAATTTGTTTTGTCTTTTCTTTTGTTTGTTTATCTGTTTTAAAGGGTTTTGAATCGTCAGAAAAAGTGAAGACAGTGTCTTTCTTTTCTTTTCTTTTTTTTTTTTGTATGACCTTCTGACGGCCTTCCATAGCAGGCGTCCAAGACATGTACGCACCGTCAGCGAAGTGTCACCGCGAGTGATGAGGTGCTGGTGTCAGTCAAGACAGGGGAGAGAGAGAGAGAGAGGGAGGGAGGGAGGGAGGGAGAGAGGGAGGGAGGGAGGGAGGAGGGAGGGAGGGAAGGGAGGGAGGGAGGGAGAGAGGGAGAGAGAGAGAGAGAGGAGGGGGGGGGCGAGAGAGAGACGGTCGTTGTTGTCAGTCCAAGAAGGAGGGAGAGAGACAGCAAGAGAGGAAGTAGATGAGAGAGAGAGAGATTGAAAGAGAAAGTAATTTTGAGAAAGGAGGGAGAAGAAGAGCGAGAGATGGAAAAAGAAGGAAATTTTAAGAAAGGAGGGATAGAGACAGAAAGAGCAAACGGAAGAGAGAAATAGAGAACGAAAGGTATTGTTTCCCTTCAAGAAAGGAGAGACAGCAAAGAGCATAAAAAGAAGAGAGAAACAGTGGGGGAGAGAAAGAGAAAGATACAGGGAGCGAAAGAGAATGAAGCTCGGCGTCAGCAGCTGTCCATCAGGCAAGGAGAAGTCCTGTTAAAAACCGTCAGTCTGTCTCCTGTAAGAAAAAAATAATAATAATAAATCTTAGAACATATATTTTTCTCTCTTTTTACTGAATTCAAAACGAGATTACTTTTATGAAATCAAAATGATATTCTTGTTGTTGTTGAAATCAAAACGAGATTTTTGTTGTTGTTGAAATCAAAACGATATTGTTTTTTACTGAAATCTTAGTGATCATAACGTTGAAATAGAAAGCGAAGCACGAGCGAGTGATAGACAGTTATATCACCTATGGCAAGATAGAACCCCGAATAATCGCGGAAAATGGATTTGGACGGTGGAAAGGGGCGTAAGAAGAGATAACGCGAGAGGGGAGGGCGGCAGTGCGAAAAAGCCCGAATTCAGTGTTATCGGGAAACGGGCTGGCAAAAATTGGACTGTAAATTGCTCGAAAATCAACAGCAACAGGAAGACGTGGAGGGGGAGGGGGAGGGGGGGGCATTGAAATATTTTGCGGAATATTGTTCGCGGCGGAAGGATGTCTGTTTTTGTTTTTCTTTTTTCTTTTGATGTAGATTTTTTTTTTCTCAATTTCGTCATTTCTTATGATGGTATTTTTGCAGAGGCGATAAGAACATGGCTTTTGAAAATTGCCAATGATTGGTTTATTGGACAATTTGACCGGATAATTTGCTGTGAAATCAGGCTAAAATATAAAGGAAATAGAAAAAAGATCCTTTTTAGAATAAGGTAAAAATCCAAAGGAAATCCAAAGGAAAGTAAAAGGTGACTAAAATTCCGTCGAGAGAAGTGAAAAGGATCAGTGGCGATGCGCAGGTCGCGGGGCGCTCCCCTGGCCTAGACTCCGTGCGTCGAGGCCGCGGCGCGAGCATGCAGGAGGGCGCGCCGCCGGACATGCTGTTCCCCGTGGACGCCGACCAGGCCCACTACCTGACGGTGATGACCAACCGGTGGCGCTGGCGAACCCCCAGCCCCGGCTACGACTCCAGCGACCGCGCCCCCAGCCCCGCGTCCAGCCCCGCGTCCAGCCCTCTCAAGCCCTCCTCCAGCAGGAGCTCGACCGCCTCCCCTTCCGCTGGCCTCGGCCCCACCCATCCGAGGACTCGCCCCGCCCTCGCCGTGGCCACGCCCGACCTCGACGGCGTGGCGCTGACCCGCTGCGGCCTGGTGGTGGGCGAGGGCGAGGGCGTGCCCCTGGGCGACGGGCAGATCCCCTCGCCCACGTGGGCGGGGATCGAGGCCGGCGACGGCGACACGAAGGCGGGCGCAGACGAGGCCTCCGGGGGCAGCGAGGCGGCGCTGGCGCTGGCCCTCGAGGCGACGAGAAGAGACGACGATGAAGACGACGACGACGGCGGCGCGGGCGGGATGGCCGTGGACGTGGTGGTGTCGCTCGACTCCTCGCGGGCGGCGTCACTCACCCGCACGTGCAAGTGGGCGGGATACAAGAAGGTAAAGCACGCCTCGTGTGGAGGGACAGCATGCGTGTTTTCGCTCGATCCTTGTTCCCCTTCTTTATCCGTTCTCCTTCTTGCCCTTTCCGTTTTCCAGATGCGAATGGCTGTGCTAACAAGCGAGTCCATGTAACCACTCTTTTGCTAGCGTGCCAGGTAGTTAGTCTGCTAACCTTGTTTTGTGAAGTTATTTAACACGATTTTTATTGTTTTTCTTCTCTTTTTTTTACCGTGATGTGATAGATAATCCACTTAACGCATTATTTTTACCTTCGCGTGGACTCTAAAGGATGCAAAAGGTCACGCTGGCGATGAAATGTCATCAGCGACTGAACAACTGAAGCTTTGATAACTAGAACCTGATTTAGAAATATTTTTCTTCCTGTCAAACGGTATTAGTTCACATTAGACACGTGGTTGTATAAATCAAATAATAATTTTTAAAAGAGAAAAAGAGATCTGTCGTTGCCAGTCGTATATCTCCAAGCGGTATTAATTTCACATTTCATTAGATACGTCTAATAGAGAATAGAATGATGATGAGTATAATAATAAGAGATGAAATATGAAAATAATGATTTTTTAAAGGAAGTAGTGATAAAAGATAAAAGATAGAAATAAAGATTTCTAAAAAGAAGTAGTAATAAAAGATAAAAAGATAAGAAATAAAGAATCAGGAAATATTAAAATGGATAAAGAAATATTAAAATGAATAGTAATAAAAGATAAAAAGGATATATTAAATATAAAGAAAAAAATAAGAATCATTAAAGGAAGTAATAATAAAAAGATAAAAGAAAAAAATAAAGAATAAAGAATCATTAACAGGAAGTAGTAATGAAAAGATAAAAAGATAAAGAAGAAAAAATCAGGTAGAAGTAAAAAGATAAAAGAAAAAATAAAGAATGAAAGAATGAGTAGTAATAAAAGATAAAAGAAAAAAATAAAGGGTAAATAAAAATATAAAAGAAAAAAATGAAGAATGATTAAAATGGAGCTGCCATCCGTACGCCGCCATGGAGTCCAAAACGAAGGGCGGGCGTGCGTCAAAGGCGATCGAGATTCATGGGCGTCACGCGTCAGAAATAGTCGGGGGCGCATGCCAGGCATAGACGGCGGCGGCGAAGGAGGGGCGTCACGCGGAACAAGGAGGACCTCGTGCACTGGGCGTCTTTTTTTTTTTTCCTTTCGTTCTTTTTTCTTTTTTCTTTCTTTTTTTTCTGTTTCTTCTTTCTTTTTATTTTTGTCTTTCTTTCTTTTCTTTTTTTCTTTTTGTTTTTTTCTTTTTCTTTCTTTCTTTCGCTCTCTTTTCTTACTTTCTTCTGCTTCTGCTTTTTCTTCTGCATCTTATTATTGTTATTATTATTATTATTATTGTGCATCTTCTTATGCATCTTTTTCTTTTCATTTAATTTTTTATGGATGGTAAAAGCATGTCTGAGCGAGTAGGAGTGGGAGAATATAGAAAAAGAAGAAAGAAAGAATAAAAAAAAGGAAGGAGGGAGGAAAGAGGAAAATGAAGGAGAAAGAGGAAAATGAAGGAGAAAGGAGAAGGAAGGATAAAGGAAGGAGGACAGAGCAAAAGGAAGGAGAAAGAGGAAAAGGGAAGAGAAGGAAGGAGAAAGGGCGAGAGAGAAATGAAATAAAAGGAGGAGGAACGGAGTGCCAGAGAGCCCAGAGAGCAGCCCGACGCCGGCCGGACGATGGCGCACGTAAAACAGTGCCACTCTAGCCAGCCGCCCCGCGCAAATGGCATCAAAAGGGGCTCTCGCTTTTGTAGGCGGCGCAGGTCATGTCCTTAGGAGGCCTTTGTTTTTGTCGCCCGAGAGAAGAGGCGGGCGACGAGGAGGTAGATAGATAGATTGGTTGGTTGATAGATGGATGGATGGATGGATAGATATATGGATGGATAGATAGATAGATAGACAGACAGACAGACAGACAGACAGACAGACAGACAGGTAGACAGACAGACTAACTGACAGACAGACAGACAGGCACATACACACAGATTGACTGACTGACTGACTGACAGACTAACTGTGGGACAGATAGACAAATACACGTATGAACCGACAGACAGACAGGGAGGTAGATGGACAAATGGGCAGGGTATATTGTATCGAAGTACTTGTTTGTGTTACGTTCGGCTGTTTAATAAGGATGTGACGAATAGGAATTTATTAATCTTACAATCGTGTTTTATCATTTTTCTTTTTTTATTTTATTGTTATTATTATTATTTTATTTATTTATTATTTTTCTTTGTATATATTTTTTTTTTTTTTTTTTTTTTTTTTTTTTTTTTTTTTTTTTAAGGCCTCCTTTCTTATTGGCCTTTTGAACGGTTGCTTCCTTTCTTATCCATCCTTGGCCTGTTTCCTTTTTGTTTATTCATTTCTTCACCTATTTTTATTTATTTTTTTTTCCCTAAGTAGCCTTTGGCCCTGTTTGTTTCGACCAATGATGCTAATGGGATAAATATTTAGCCAATCAGCGCGGAGTCAGAGTTCCTTCGCTCTCGCCCTCTCAAGTGGCAACTCCAAACGGCCGGAGTAGATCTTGGGGAACATTACTCCGGTTTCGAGTGCATTGCATATTGGTCCTGCAATTTGCGGGTCAGTTATTTTTTTTTTTTTATTTTTTTTAATATTAATTTGTTTTCATTTTTTTTCTTTCTTTTTTTTTTTTTTTTTATCCCAGAGTTTTAATGGGAGAGTTTTTATTAATGATTTATTTTCATTTTCATTTCTTTTTTTTTTTTTTTTTGGTATCCCGGAATTTTAGTGGGAGACAAAGGTATTTAGGATTTGTTTTTACTGTATTTATTCATTTATTATTATTTTATTATTATTATTATTATTATTATTATTATTATTTATTATTATTATTATTATTATTATTTATTATTTATTATTATTTTATTTTATTATTTATTATTATTATTTTATTTTAGTAAAGGGGAGAGAGGGGGGGGGGGGGGAGCGACTTATAATTAAAGCCTGCGTTATTGTTTATTGCTAATTAAGGTTTGTCGTTTGCACGTGCAGGCGAATCCTCGGAAATGAAACCATTAATTAAATCCGCGTTTAGTCTGGATTGGTTTTATGATGATGATGTCATTCATTTTTTTATTCGGATCGTTGTTATGGTTGTGAAGATTGTGATGGTTTTGTAGATGGTAGGGGATGATGATGATGATGATACTGGGATGATAATGGTGGTGGTTGTGATTATTATTATTATCATCGTCGTTATCATCATCATAATCATCATTATCACTATCATCATCATCACCATCATTATCATCATCATCATCATCATCATCACTTTTATCAACACTTTAATTGTCACTGATGAAACGCTCATTGTTATCACTATTATTGTCTGAGTTTTAAAAAGCCATTGCTCTCACCGTCATCATTATCACTATTATCATCATTATCATCACCACCATCATTATCACTATCATCATTATCATCACCATCATCATTATTATCATCATCATCATCATCATCACTTTTATCAACACTTTAATTGTCACTGATAAAACATGTTATTTTCCACGAAGCTGCTAATAAATATCCTGCAAAAAGAAAAAAAGAAAAAAAGAAAAAAAAACGAAAAAATGTAGATTGCAAAAAGTCAAAAAGTCATCAATGGCTCTTGGCCGCGCACTTTATATTTCGCAGAAGCCATCCAGTTCGCACTAATCTCCCTTGCTTAAGAGGTTCGTCCGACCACTTCCGGTTGGAGTGTCTCGACCTTGTTTTTTTTTTTTTTTTTTTTTTTTTTTTTGGGGGGGAGGAGGGATCTAGCGCGTCCCGTTTGAAGAGAGATTTCGTTGTTCGTCTCTCCTCTCTCTCTCTCTCTTTCTCTCTCTCTCTCTCTCTCTCTCTCTCTCTCTCTCTCTCTCTCTCTCTCTCTCTCTCTCTCTCTCTCTCTCTCTCTCTCCTCTCTCTCTCCTCTCCCTCCCTCTCTCTCCCTCTCCCTCTCCCTCTGTCTCCCTCCCTCCCCCCTCTCTCACTTTGAGGGAGGGGTTCCGGAGGGGATATTTATTGAGAGGGGGGAGGGGGAGGGGGGGAGCGTAGAGGATTTCGCAGGGAGATTTATCAGGTCCTCCGGGGATTCCGAGATCTGAGGCGTGGCGGAGCTTAATGGGACAGGGGCGTGTGCTCCGACAGGTGCCTCCGTCGCTAAAGAGGCGATTCGCGGGCTGAGTTGTGTCGCGGCGGAGTCCCCGGGATGCGGGGATAGCCTGCCGGGCTTGTAATTTCCCCTGCGTGAGACGGGGAAGCTTGGCCTGGTTCCTCTGTGAGACGGGGAAGCTGGCCTGGGTTCCCCCTGTGAGACGGGGAAGCAGGCCCTGGGGTTCCTCTGTGAGACGGGGAAGCTGGCCTGGGTTCCTCTGTGAGACGGGGAAGCTGGCCTGGGGTTCCCCTGTGAGACGGGGAAGCAGGCCTGGGGTTCCTCTGTGAGACGGGGAAGCTGGCCTGGGGTTCCTCTGTGAGACGGGAAAGCTGGCCTGGGGTTCCTGTGAGTGGCCTACCCCTGTGAGACGGGGAAGCTGGCCTAGGGTTCCCCTGTGAGACGGGGAAGCTGGCCTAGGGTTCCCCTGTGGGGTTCCCCTGTGAGACGGGGAAGCTGGGGTTCCCCCTGTGACGCTGGCCTGGGTTCCCCTGTGAGACGGGAAGCTGGGGTTCCCTGTGAGACTGGTCCCCCTGACGTGGCCTAGGGTTCCCCTGTGAGACGGGAAGCTGGCCTGGGTTCCCCTGTGAGACGGGGAAGCTGGCCTGGGTTCCCCTGTGAGACCTTGGCCTGTGGTGTGAGACGTGGGGCCGTGGTTCCCCTGTGAGACGTGGGACTTGGCCCGTGGTTCCCCTGTGAGACACGGAAGCCATTTCGGAAGTCGGGAGGCGAGAGGCGTCCGTCCGGGGGGTGGGGGGGGTAGGGGAAGTTCGAGGATCCGAGGGGCGGCTTGGGGAAGGGCCCGTTTAATCTCGGGGATGGGCGGAGGAGGCTGCACATCGCCGCCTCGTGCTCTCGCGTGGGGAAACAAGTCTTTTTATTCGTTTTTTTCTTTCTTTTCTTCCTCTTATCCTTCGTTTTCTTCTTTTTCTTCCCATCATCGTCTTTGTTTTATTCGGATTTTTCTTTCTTCCTCGTATCCTTCGTTTTCTACTTTTTCTTCCCTTCTTCGTCTTTGTCTTATTCGGATTTTTCTTCCTACTTCCTCTTATCCTTCATTTTCTACTTTTTCTTCCCATCTTCATCTTTGTTTTATTCGGATTTTTCTTTCTTCCTCTTATCCTTCGTTTTCTACTTTTTCTTCCCATCTTCGTCTTTGTTTTTTTATGTTACTTTTTTGTCTGTATGTCTGTATGTTTGTGTCTATATCCATGTCGGAATCTGTGTGCATGCGTCTGTATTCGTGTGTGTGTGTGTACGTCTGTCTGTCTGGCTGTCTGTAGGTATGTGTGTGTATGTATGCATGCCTGTATGTTTGTCTGTTTGTTTTTATGTATTTGTGTGTGTGTGTGTCTATGTGCGTGCGTGTGTGTGTGTGTGTGTGTGTGTGTGTGTGTGTGTGTGTGTGTGTGTCTGTGTGTGTGTGT